AAATGCGTCTTTGCATTACATCAATGATGCAAAACGCATGAAAAATGAAAAGCAATTAGTGGACGTAGCGCAGCGGCAAGTACCGCCAGTCTTTCGCTAGACGTTAGAGCTTCAGCTTATCCACTGGAATAGTTCACGATTTACTTCACCCCGACGACTTTCGCGTAAGGGCCCTGTCTCCCAGCAGTGAGTCATGAATCGGTTTTGAATTTAGTTGGTTTTTTTTTTTTAAATTATTGGTAAAGGATAACATTGAAGTCATTGACGACGCACACCAGACAGGCTCGTGTCATCACACGTCCTTGCAATATTTCGTGCTATGGTAAGATCGCTTGCTATCCCAGTAGCTACAATTAGTGACTACTGGTCCTCGAAGATCAGAAATTTAATTGTGCAACTTCATGGTACTTGAACACGGAACATTCCGTCAAATTTCTGTGTTCCAGTTTTTCTGGCTCCCGAGATAGCAATTTTCCTGTCGAAAATTTTTGCCTGCGTGTACGTAGGAACCGCGCATACCTCGAGCTGAATTTGGAGCTTTGAGTTCTGCACGAACGTGGAACATCTCCTCAAAATTTCAGCTTTTATTAAACTCTAGGCTGGAATGCACCAGCAAACCTGACGTGTTCCAGCTTAGAATTTAATATCTGTCAAAATTCTTTCTGAACGGGGACAGTGCTACAGCAAAAGGAAAAGGGGGTGATGTTGCGAATTTCCTCGCCCTCTACTAGTGAATTACTTGGAAACGTCCATTGACACAACGTATTGGGGAGCAAGCGGTGCCACGGTTTAACTCTACCGGTGTGAAAATCTGTCCCTGTACAGTTCACTTACTTTTCGATGGTGAACTGGTACTACCAAAAATTTGTGAATGAGGATTTCAATTCGACTGCGCCGTTTGACTCGTAAAAAATCCGCTAACGCCGTTTACGGGTTACTGAGGAGTTCATATCCATTTCTGCAGTTCAAAGGAATATGGATTATTATTCTTATATCTGAACACAGGATTATTATTCTTATATCTGAACACAGAGATAAACACTCATTTTAGGATAGTTAGCGCAGTAACACAAGTGAAATTCAAAATGTTGATTTAGCAGCTCATTAGTTGCTTTACCCAATTGTTCACCACCATTTCACCGCCTCAAGTCTACGTTATAAAGAACTTGAGTCAAATTATCGCCCGTTACAGTTAGTTTGCCCTCTCAATCTCTGCCACGGAGCCGGTTGTACTTTACTTGCGTTCTCAATCTCTGCTCCTCCTCCAGAGCTGTGCTGCAGAACTGAAAGAGTTCCCTCTCAATCTCTGTTACAGATCGCGCTGTACTTCCGTCATATTCTCAATCTCCAACACATGCCGCTCCATTACACCGCAGAAGTGTAAGAGAGGCTGAGATTGAGAATGCAATAAAATACACTACAATTAGGGTTAAGGATTGAGAGGATATGCGAAATATTATGGTGAACAAGCTGGGGAATTTTACGCGCCTGTACACGAGTATTACACGTGCCTTGATGCTGAATTTGAAACCATTGACTAGCACTTAGACGGAGAACATCTTTTCAAGGTTTCATCCGTCCAGCTTCTCCAGTTCCTGAGTTAGCGACTTTCTAGTCAACTTGAAATCTTTAAGTTCTACGTGGACGAGGAACATCCCCTCAACATTTTAGTCTCTCAGCTTTGCTGGTTCTCGATTTAGCAGCTTTCTTGCCAAAACTTTCACGTGTTCGTACGCAAAATCCAGATGTCTCTGAAAGTTACTTCTACGATCCTGTAGTGGCACCAGCAAAATTTTAGCACTGGAACTTGCTTGGTTGCCGTGAAATTCCCGAGCAGGCACATATATACACCTGTATACATGTATATATACATATATATATATACATATATATATATATATATATATATATACATGCAAACATACACACACATGCACACTGTGGTTCGTCGCAATATGTGTTTTCGCATTTGCATATATGCAAAAACGCATGGAAAGTGATGGACTTTAGCAATACAAATTATAGGATGCGTTTCTGGAAGAAGTCGCAGTACAGCCTGAAAAGCTCACTGAACAAAAAATGGTTGTCGAGTCCTCGAACGATGCATTAAGTGATAAAAGCAGCGTAGCGAATGAAAATAATTTGAGGAAAAAAGTTGGAATGCTGGTGCGAGTAACGAGACGAATGATCAACTACTGTGCTCGGGTATGGCTTAGTTCACGGAAAAAGCGCTCGATCTTGGGCAACAAAGTTAATGCCGAATGGCAAGACCTAGAAGGATTGCTTTTGCACGCTTAAACCATCAGTAAAAGTAAAGAAACGCTTGTTGGTTTTCCGTCTTTTCTTTTACACCTTCAGAGGCTCAGTTTGGTCTGCCTGACTTTCCAACTACTCGTACTGATTTTCACCGGTAAACACAATGCCATTTCTCAGTTCTCACCTGGATCATTACCTTTAGAATTTTTTAGACACAAAGATTTGATGCAAAGGCACTTTGCTTCATTTAGCAACCACCATAAGCAAACATTTTTTTCTGGTTCAGGAAAAAATCTTCCCCGATAGTATTCTGACGGTTCCAATTAATCTGTCGCGCGTCTATCGCATCAAAAGATTTTGTTACCGATTGATTACTTTTGTACCCCATTCCCTCCT